CGCATGAGTGTACGCTCTTCATCATCCACCATCACACCTGTCATATCATGAACCCCTTCGGTCTCTTTCATCGTCAGTCTCTGTATCAGTTCTTCAAAGGCTTCATCTAGCCCCAAATCTAACGCCATTCTCGTTGCAAAGGATAAGATCAAGGACCGCTCAGCAGAGTAGCAGGCTACAATGAGCAACGCCTGCACGGATTCCAAGCAATTGAGGTTTTTATTCTGAATAATCACGTTTATCGATCTCTTGAGTTCGGCATGGAGTAGATCGGGGATCTGAGATCCAGACCCTGGAATTGTCAGCGACTTGTCACTTAATCGACTGGATTCTGTATCAAGCGTACTGATCTCAACTCGGCTGCCAATCGTGCAGATAGCATTAAACAGAATGCTACTCCGAGTGCGCACAGAGTTGAACGTGTCAATATCTGGATCAAAGACCGGGATATACCTATCCTAAGTCCCCTATGCATGAGCCCTGAACATCATGGCTAGATGGAAGATATCACATACACAGCCCTGAAAGAACCTATAGTGCATATTAGCAAATACCAGGAACCAGCACCAAATGTGACAGCAACATACGTCCTAAAGCACGACATAGCCTGATCAGCCGTCATCATCCCCCTACTAATAAAATCCAATACTGGCTCTTCCTTGATATCGAACCCTGAGCGTCGCAACCTGGTAGGCCGAGCAGCCTCCATTCCAGGAGTCGGGAACTGAAACACGCCAGCATCATGATCCCTATGGGTCACAGGATATCTAGCCCCTCGCCATGGATGATGATACCCACCCATTCCTCCCGTAGCAAGAAACGTGGGCATTGTCCCAGGATCAGACATGACATGAGCGGAAGCGGGAGAAGTGACAGCAATCTGCTGCTGTTGCTGCGTAGACTGACGTAGTAGTAGCTCGTTCACATTGCTTAATTGCTCCCGTAGACGCTGTACTTCTGCTTCGACATTCTCCAGGCGTCTGTACATGGTACTATCGTCAACACACGACAGCTCCAACAAAGTGTAAAAGACAGGAGATACAGAAGCAAAGTACATACAAGACAGCAAGATCCTTCGGAACCTCAAAGAAAACACATCGTTTCCTTGCACGTTTACATCTATCCATCTTCATCAGCATACTCATCTTAGAATTTATTAGTATATACGTACCTCGTACACGGCCGTTTACCATCGCATTTGACCTATACCACCCAACATATCAGTAAAACAATACAATCGAACCCAAGACACAGTGTCACATTCGTAAGAAAGATGACGTACTTTCGACTGCCGACAAGAAGTACATGCTTTCTATATCATTTATTCATGTATTAGCAGTACTTCTTTTATCCAGATGGTAGCTACTGCGCTAGTAGCATCAGCAGCTCATGTAACTCCAAAGGAGACCTAGGACTCGAACCAAGCATGCATACCGGGATACGCTTCTTCCCAACTGGAGCGGATACCGCGCAGGAGGATTCCTCGTCCGAGTCCATTATTTACTTTCCGAATAGGTATAGATGTTTGCACTAGATTAGGGATAACACTGGGTCAATTAATGCAGGGTATGCGCACTGATCGTCGGAAGACGGAAGAAGGAGTCGGTTTGGAATGGGGTAAATAGATTGAAACGGGGATGGCATGAGAGGAAAAGGCGGGGCCCCACGCCGTCTCGCCGGGGGATTGCCGAGTCGGCTATTGGAAGGTACTAACTACGAACTTGGTTTGTTTGCGGTTGGTTTTTATTTCAGTACCGGTTGTCTTGCTTCTTGTTCAAGTATTATACTAAGAACATGGTAACACGTTGAGTATGGTCAATAACAGATACTTTCCATAGACTGAATAACATGATAACATGAAATGGACGCTATAAACATAACCCGCATATTCCTCAAAGCAATCCATCATTCCTTGCCTTATTGGCGTGAAGAGCCCGCTCTTAGTATACATAGACGAAATCCTCGTTCTCCCAGTCCGTGAGGTCCTTGAACGCATTGTCGTCGCCAAGTGTCTCCTGAGGTACTTCGGTCTTGTCAATTTGGACTGCTCCTACGGCTTGCATGGAGTGGTCGATGATCTTTGCGCTCTTTCCCATACTCACTCGTTTCTTCTCATGTTTCTTGTTGAGGAAGAAGAGGTATCCCATGTTCAGTCTAAGAGTAGATGAGCAGGTGAAGCTAAATTACGGTGTAGAGGACTTACGCGCAAAGCAGGATAAGGACGCAGAACATGGCAAGGCTGTTTGTATGCATGATCAGTCTTGTAAACAGTCAGTTATTGGCTCTTTTCAGGCTTACTTGGAGAGCAGACCACGTCTGTATAGCGGTGCTTCGGTTGTAGTGTACAGGTTTGATCCTAGGACCTGTTTCATGTCAATGTTTGACCCTGCTTTCCGGACTGGTTGGGTTACATACGTTACCAGCACATTGTCCGACGAGTAGAACACCGTTCACTAGCTTCTTTTTCGTTTCGCCTCCTGTGTTACCCGCGGACCATGAGTAGATCAAAGGTGCTATAGTCTGTTAGCTTTGGCGTCTGCGCAGTTCGTAGAGACATACTAATTCCAGGGTATACAGAGATCTAGCAAATATTAGCGAGCACATGCATACATCAGCATAGAACTTACAATATAATACCCCGCAAGCAGTGCCCCATTGTGATTACCATCGTGCGGAATTTGCAACAACATCACACAACCCGCAATAGCAGGCAAGCAGAGCAAAGCTATGACAGGACCCTTCATCTGGAGCTTAGTGGCCATCCACGCTCCTCCCATAGTTGCAATGAGCTGGACAGCGCCAAAAGGTATATTGAAGAGGATGGTGTCAAATTGGTTGAATCCGAATGCTTCGATAATCAATGGCCCGAAGGTCGAGATGCCGCCGCTGGGGATTCTGTGATACTGTCAGTATGTTCCGCTTCAATGCTCGAATAAAAGTATCTTACGAGATTGAGAACATCAAAGCAAACCAGAAGAAAGACTTGATGTCGAGGCATGTTTCTTTCACATGCTGCCATTTCCACTCGTGCGTTTCGATACCTTGCTGGTTCATACGAAGTCTAACCACAGCCGTAAGCATTTGGCGCGTTCGTTGATAGCTGCATAGTAGATACCTTTCAATAGCCAGAACTTTATCCTCTTCGTGAAGAAATTTGGACTTCATCGGCGAGTCGGGGGTCAAAATACTAAGATATAAAGGGTCAGGAGGGTGCAACGTTCGTTGTTGAAACGGCGTGTCTCACAATACAACGGCAGAGAAAACAATCGTGATGAGCCCGAAAAACAAGAAGATAATCTGTGGTACAGTTAGCATCCCGCCTCCATGATGGTGAAGATAACCCACCTGGTAAGGCTCGAAGACCGAAGATGCAATGTGACCAAGACCGTAGGTTATCAGACTTCCAAACTAGATTGTAGTCCCCATTAGCAGTCATACATATCAAGTAGGACGGAGACAGAACTCACCATGTTCACCACACCGTTCATAGCATACCATGAACCAAGCCGGACGGGCTGTTCTCGTCGACGATACCACATTTGCGTGATCGCAATGAATGCCGGCGCTTGTCATCCAACCTCAGCCCTAGTACAAGACAATCGATTATAGCTAGAGGGAATACTCACGTATACCAGCTTCAAAGAGACCCAGAAAAATCCGACAAACCAACAACTTCGCAAAAGTGTTCGCTGGGGTCATGCATGTCAGGGCAATGCCCCAGAGAAAGGTCGTACATGCCAGGAACTTCCCCAGAGGCACCTTGACCAGGATGTAGGCGACGAACGGCTGAGCAACGAGTTGCACCAGGTAGACGACCGCCCCCAGCCACGAGTATTCCTGCCCATGTAGATGGGCCTTCTCGACCAACCCAAAGACCGACGCGTATGAGAGAGTCGACTTGTCAACCTGCTGCAGGAAATAGATTCCCAGCAGAATAGGCAGGAGTCTAAGATCAATCTTCCGAAGGACTTTGGCATTATTCTCGGGTGTTAGGATGGCTGAATGACCTGCGTCTCTCATGAGGTCAAGCGCTGTATCCTGAGTAGGCTCGTTTGCATGCTGCAGCTCCCGACGGGGCGCGTTCTCGACAGATTCAATATGCTCATCTTGTGTCTTGTCTGCAGGCGTTGTTCCTTGTTTGTGGGACATGGTTCCTCGTCTATTCTTCTGTAGTCGAACTGTTCTTGAAATAGCCCTAACAAGACGACCGCCTCTCAAGTAGGGAGAATAAGCGTTTCAATCTTCAGCAAGGGTAAATCAGAACGAAGAGAAGATTCCCTAAGGACAAGATAAAACCCAGACAAAGGGTCACAACAGAACTGGGTAATAGCATATCCCCATTCATCATACACCTACACTCCAAAGGGCAACCCCGTGGGGAAAGCCTCATCCTCTGCCCCGGACGGAAGCAGCCCAAACCCGACGCGGGAGCGAATCAATTCAGCCATGGCTCGTCACGACGCCCATGACAAGATTAGCGTCGAGGTAGTCGTTCCATCCCGGCAACACACCACGGGATAACATGACGTGGAAGCTGTCGGACATTATCCGATGCGATGTCCAATGAATTGCAGTCGTGCCATCACCGTGCAGGTGAATTCATGGGAGTGGGGAGATACTTGACGTTGAACAGCGTCTAGCTTCGGATTTCGGGCACGAAAAGCGAAGAACCGAGTACAAAAAGTATCTCCAGCTTCGCTTGGGTGTGGGTCACGGGGACGCGGGGGAGCACAAAGTGTGGGGGAAAGTTCACTAACCCTGTAGGACAATGCCAGACGTGTCGGAGATACTCCCCGAAATCCGACTATACAGCTCCACGCTGGTGGGCCTCAACGGCACTGCTCCTCACGCAATGCCGGTGGGACAGAGGCATGTAGAATCACTCAAATAGAGCGGTATTCTGGCTTGAATCCAAATCCTGTAGTTGTATCCTCATTCGTATCTTAGACTTTGTACTCACAGTCACTCAATTGGCCTTGTTCAAGGGAGTACACACAATAATGCCTCAAAAAGAGTTCGTCCCCAAGACTTATCAAGAGTCTCCAACTGGGGCTCAAACCTCCTCCTCTGTATATCTCCGCTCGAGCCCCGATGAGCGTTCCTTCGACTTCTCCTTCGAACCAATTCGCGAGAACCTATTTAGAGTCACCTTCTCGTCGCAAGACCACCCTCTCCCTCCCTTCCCCAGTGTGACCAAGCCAGCAACAAACCTAGATGGAGTCCAAGTCTCCACTACAGGCGGTTCGAATCAAAAGACAATCGAAGTGGGAGGCGTAACAGCGTCCGTTGACTGGAGCAACACCCCAGTCGTCTCCCTATCATGGAAGGGCACCGAGAAGCCCTTATATCGCGATCTGCCACTTCGCTCCTATGTCGCAGACTCCACCGGCATCGCACACTACACAGAGCATGACCGGGATTGTCTTCACGTTGGACTTGGCGAGAAAAGAGCTCCCATGGACCTCACAGGACGCCATTTCCAGCTCTCGGCCACCGACAGCTTCGGATACGATGTTTACAACACCGATCCTCTATACAAGCACATTCCTCTGCTGATCAAGGCATCCCCTGATGGATGCGTGGCCATCTTCTCGACAACCCATGGCAGAGGCACCTGGTCTGTCGGCTCGGAGGTCGATGGCCTCTGGGGCCACTTCAAAGTCTACCGTCAAGACTACGGCGGATTGGAGCAGTACCTCATCGTCGGCAAGACGCTCAAGGATGTCGTACGCTCCTACGCAGAGCTTGTCGGTCTTCCGATCCTCGTCCCCAGATGGGCATATGGGTACATCTCAGGTGGATACAAGTACACCATGCTTGACGACCCGCCTGCTCACGAGGCATTGATGGAGTTCGCAGACAAGCTGGAAGAGCACGGCATTCCCTGCTCCGCACACCAAATGAGCTCCGGATACTCGATCGCCGAAACTGAGCCTAAGGTCCGCAATGTCTTCACATGGAACAAACATCGCTTCCCCAACCCCGAAGAGTGGATTGCCAAATACCATGGTCGGGGTATCCGCCTTCTCTCCAACATCAAGCCATTCCTGCTCGCCTCACACCCCGACTTCCAGAAGCTCATTGATTCGAACGGGTTCTTCAAAGACCCTGCGAGCAATAAGCCGGGCTATATGCGACTGTGGAGTGCCGGAGGCGCAACAGGAGGTGACGGATGTCACATCGACTTTTCCTCCGCTGTTGCGTTCAAGTGGTGGTATGACGGTGTGCAGAGCCTGAAGCGCGCCGGAATCGACGCCATGTGGAACGACAACAACGAGTACACGCTTCCAGACGACGATTGGAAGTTGGCATTGGACGAGCCAACCGTCTCCGAGGCCGTCAAGAAGGGCGTCGAGAACTCTGTCGGACAGTGGGGTCGCGCCATGCACACCGAACTCATGGGCAAAGCTTCCCATGACGCTCTGCTCAACATTGAGCCCAACCACAGACCATTCGTCCTGACTCGCAGTGCCACGGCAGGTACAATGCGCTACGCCGCCAGCACCTGGAGCGGAGACAACGTGACTAGCTGGGAGGGCATGAAGGGAGCGAACGCTCTGTCCCTCAGCGCAGGAATCTCTCTTCTGCAGTGCTGCGGTCACGATATTGGGGGATTCGAAGGACCTCAGCCTTCTCCTGAGCTGCTGCTCAGATGGATCCAACTGGGTATCCACTCGCCTCGGTTCGCCATCAACTGCTTCAAGACATCTCCTGGAAACAGCTCCGTCGGAGACGTCATCGAGCCGTGGATGTACCCCGAGATTACCCCTCTCGTCCGTGATACCATCAAGCGTCGCTACGAGATCCTTCCTTACATCTACTCCCTGGGTCTAGAAAGCCATCTGACCGCGTCCCCGCCCCAGCGCTGGGTAGGATGGGGCTATGAATCGGACCCGGAGGTATGGACGAAGGCCCTGAAATCAGGCGATGAGCAGTTCTGGTTCGGTGACAACATCATGGTCGGCGGTGTCTACGAGCCAGGCGTCAGCATTGCCAATTTATACCTTCCCCGTAAGGCGAATGACAAGTTCGACTTTGGGTATGTGAACATGAACGAGCCTTATAACTATCTCGCCTCTGGACAATGGGTGGAAGTGCCCTCCGAATGGAGGAAGAGCATTCCCCTTCTAGCCAGAATCGGTGGTGCCATCCCCGTCGGAAAGCCCGTTCATACCAGGGTTCCTGGCGATGACACTCCGGCTTCTGTGGCTGTGAAAGAGGTCGATGATTACCGTGGAGTCGAAATCTTTCCGCCCCGTGGTAGTTCTCATGGCCAGATGTTCAGTACTACTTGGTTTGAAGATGATGGTATCTCGCTTGAGGCGCGCATCTCGGAGTATACTATCACGTATAGTTCCACGGAGGAGAAGGTTATTGTTGGATTCTCTCGTGATGAGAAGTCTGGGTTTGTTCCTGCTTGGAAAGATCTTGATATCGTCCTTCATAATGGCGATGAGAGACGCGTGGTGTCGGATATTGGGAAGACTGTGGAGTATAAGGGTAAGGACTCTCGGGGACGGGTGGTTTATACCTTGAAGAACTAGATAGGGGATGTTATGGTTGTTGGTATGGAAAGTTCGTTGGATATTTTGGTAATACGGGTGAGAATGGTTTACCCGGATCATGATGATAGATGTCGGTGGCGTTAGATAGTATAGAAGAGATTGGGATTTGAATCAACTGTTTGTTGTGACACACATGAACAACTTGTAATTAGACAATACCTTTTAGTAAGTACCCATAGGACACCGAGGCTGGCTGAAACGCAGTCAACCTAGGCGTAAGGCGTGGTCGGCCATGAATCCTGCAAACAGCTAAGGGGAACAATGAGTAAGACTATCCTAATCCATGAGACTAGACCAGGAGATCAATTCAAATAGCATTGTTGATACATGATATAACACCAGAGAAAAGGAAAATTTACAATGTCCTATACAATACAATCCCAGCCGAAAGTTCAGATGTAGACAGACAGATATCAATAAGAGCAATAGTCAACACTTCGACTCTATTCGTCATCCTTGGAAGCCCCTTCCTTAGGCTTGTCGAGCGGGCTTCCCTCAGAAGAACCTTCCTCAGACACAACATCCTGAGAGGCTTCAGGCGTCTGTCCTTCCGCGGTCTCCAAAGTCGTCTCCTCTACTTGTTGACGGAGTGGTTGCATGGGTTTATACGTCCACTCACCCTTACGCGCTAGCGCCAATCTTCTCTGCTGACCCGCTTCTCCGGCCCGTCCCAGGACACCAGCAATCAGAGTCACGGAACGCAAACTGTCGTCGTTGGCAGGGATGGGGTATGTGACACGGGTCGGGTCGGCGTCAGTGTCGATGATACCGATAGTCGGGACGTTGTTGAGACCACACTCGTGCAACAGGACAACGTTCTCGACGGGGTTCAAGCAAACAACAAGGTCGGGCTTGAGTGCACGGTAACCTTCCAATTCCTCTTTCCAGAGGTCCTCAATCGTCTCATCCATGCCGTTCACGATCTTCTTTTCGCAATGGCCCAAGATCTGCTGGCCATTGGTCAAGCTACCAGGGATCCAACGCTCAAAAATGTGATATCCCTGAGCCAGTTCCGCGGCTCTGACCACCGCACGCTTCTGACCCTTTCGCGTGCCTGCAAAGAGAACTAATCCACCCCGGAAAGCAACTTCCTCCACGATCTTGGCCGCACGTCGGAGGTAAGCCGCCGTGATGTCAAGAGAAATGATGTGAGTTCCCTCCCTGATACCGAAGATATAGCGCGAGTTCTGGGGGTTCCAGCGGGAAGTCGAGTGTCCAAGGTGTGTCTGGTTGGCGAGGAGCATTTCGAGGGTAACGTCGGTGGCTTTGGGAGGGTTTTTGAGGAGGCTCTCTGGCCGGTAGACGCCGGTCACATCGCTACCGAGACTGTGGAATTTGATCCCTGAAAAGAAGGAGGATGTGTTAGCTTTCCCTTCAGGCAGCGGCAGGCCTCACGGTCATGATGTTGCGGTACTTACTGCGGAGCGTGTTCGGATCCAATTTTTCTTGTGCACCAGATGTACCAGGCTCCGGCACCGCAACAGCCGGTGCAGGCGTCTCTAATTGAGGTGCTTGCTCTGCAACGATAGTCTGTACTGGAGTCTGGCCAGTCGTCTCCGTGGAAGAGAATCGGGACAAGATGCGCGACTGACGGGGAAGAGCCCGAAGCTGGCGGCCTGAATGAAGACGGGGGTATCAGCACCAATATATCCTATCAATTATTCCAATCCATAGAATGAACTCACTTTGCCGCACAAGTTGCCGAACAATCATACTGTCTTGTGTTGGCCGGAGTTCTGGTCTATCGCAGCTGGTTCAAGGGAATCTTCCGCTCGAACTTTTGATGTCGGGCTTGGCAACAACAGGTGCCTGAGGCGGGTAAATAATACGCTAAGCCGTTTACGGAACCAGTTCTAGATGTCGGGGAAATCAACTCGATCCCAGCAATTCCGATGCATCCATCTCACACTACTACTTGCTTACTTCGTATTTGCAGCACACCACCTGAACGGTGATTTAAATGTTCCAGAGAACCGCCAAACACAAACATGACTACCTACCAGTACCTAGCAACGAGAGACAACGTCAAACGAACCAACAGTAGCACTTGCATATCGCCCAGACCGCCAAACCATTCCTCAACAGCAGAGACCAAACACAACAGCCCAATAACAAACCTTGTACTACACTCCTCCGACATCTCCCGGAAAGAGTACGCAGGATGTCACTTGATTCCACCAATCGACCACTACATCCCCTAGACCATCATGCAGAACACAGCACGGTAGCCAACCGCCCGAATGTCAATCTGCAAGTAAGTACAAAGTAGGGTAGGTTGGTAAAATACATGACCAGTATAATGATACACACAGAGAAAGCGACGATCATATACATACATAAAGCCGAAGCTTCTCCGCTCCAAAACGAGGCAAACAATTGCCTATGAAGCGACACGCGTACTCACCAATCCCTGTCCAGGTTATTTGTCAGGTCATATGTCAAAGTCAACTTGCAGTGTGTGGGTGATCCATCCGACCCTTTAACCGCTCAGTCTCAGCCACGATCACTGATGGTCTATCTATCTATCTATCCATCTATCTGTTTAAGGTAATCGAGATGTCAAGGTGGGGATTTTGGGTTAGGGGGAATAAGTAAGCCGGGACATGTTGGGCCGCAGAAGTTTCGCACTATTCGCTTTGGGAAAGTGTGCTTTTCTCATCTTGAGATCTTTTACCATCGTATTGTAGACAAGACGAGGAGGAGGTTACATCGATCTATTTCTTTATCCCTCTAGATTGTGTAACGTGGGGTTAGATAGTTGGAGAAGAAATGCAAAGAGGCATTTTTTTCTTTTCCGTGGAATGTGCGGAATTCTTGTTTTCTTGTCGGATACTAAACCGGCAATACTACTAGTATCCTTGGGAGGTATCTTTGTGAGGGGGCCAAAAACTTCCTACCGTTAGTAGTATCGGACGTTACAGCAGACATTACTGGTCGATGATGAGCTGGCTCTCGCTGATCACCTTCAAAATGATTCGTCTTATTTTCCGGCATGAGAACAGACAGAAAAGCAAAGGGTGGGGTCGAGTCGTCGAGACTTTTCCACCCCGCCACCAACCTGAAACCCCTCATCCTGTTAACATCATGGGGCGAACTCAAATGCGTGAAGATCGGTCAAGTGGTGGGTGGTGGGAGGATGGTCGGATCGTGATTTTCTCTCTAAGAATGGGGCTACGTGGGAATTCATAATTCTACGGCTGTCAAAATGACTGTCCGGGAGCAAAAGTAAGTGAGGCCAAAGACTGTATGATTCTTCGTAACGTAACCACAGAAGAGCTATGTAGACTGGAATACAGCGTTGGTATCAAAATTAAGAATTTCATCCGCGCCGGGTATGTGTAACAAGCAAAGCGATCTCAGTAATAGCAATGAGAAGTAAAATGTAGAAAAAGCGAATCAATAATTCTTCATCCAAAACCCGGCCGGCCGAACGAAGCAAAAGTCGAAATTTCAGTCATTCACGGTAGTCGCAAGGAAATTCGTAAGAATAAGCAGGAAGAAAGCAATCGGTTTAGGAGAGAAGGAGAACAGTCTATCGCTTGAAGAAGCCGCCGAGCTGGTCCATCATGCCACCGCCGCCGTGGTGGGACTGGCCACCCTGAGGGGGGTAGCCACCATAGCTGCTCTGGTAGTCCTGCTGCTGCTCGTCCTTGTGCTTGTGCTTCTTGATGGCATCCTCGGCGATGCTTCCCATGATAGCTCCACCGATGGTTCCGAGGATTCCGTGATCGGCCTTGTGACCGGCAAATCCGCCCGCAAGACCACCGGCAATGGCACCACCGAGGCCACGCTCACCCTCCTGGGCTCCGCCGGGGGCACCCTGGTTGTATCTAGAGACAAAATATGTTAGCTAGAGCTCATGAGTATCAAGGTACTAAAGTGTATAACATACTCGCCACGCTGGTCCTGGCCGTACTGCTGACCACCCTGGTGCTGCTGGCCATACTGGCCCTCACCATACTGGGGCTGTCCACCACCGCCGTAGTAGTCGCTAGAGGCACCACCCTGGCCGCCGTGCTGCTGGTGCTGGTGCTGGCTGTACTGGTCATAGCCACCCTGCTGGCCATATCCTTGCTGCTGGGGGTATCCGCCCTGTTGGCCGTATCCACCTTGGCCGTAGCCGCCCTGGCTGTAACCACCGTGCTGCTGGCCGTAGTAGCCCTGGTTGTTGTATCCGTCGTAGCCAGACATGGTTATGATGTAGATTGGAGTTGTAGAGGTAGTTGATTGATAGATTGGTAAGGTTGATAGAGGAAGGAAGTGGAGTGGGATTTGGTAAGATGATGGGAATGTAAGACAGAACGAGGGGTTCCCAGGCCTTTTATAGTGGGATATTTGGCCACTGGATAAGGTGATCTGGCACTGCAGGGCTGAGCAGGCGCAGTGCTGACTCGCCCAGAAGGTGAGCCCCACCAAGATTCAATGATGCCCCCGCTACGCCAAGAGCCCAGCGCCAGCTGAGAAAACACGGGAACAAGTAATTACGCTGTTCAGTCACAGCCCCCGGTCAGAAATCAACCCGGTTTGAAGTGAGATTACGACTTCCGTTGTGGCTGTTCGTTGAGGCTGATGCCGTACGGAATCACTAGATCCCCCGCCACCATGCAGCGCGGGGTGGCTGTGCCATGTGTTCATCATGGGCGCAGGGCGGGTGTTGATCTGGTCTTCCTTTCGGAATTGCTCCCCGCCAACCTGGGGATCAGGTACTTTTCGTTTTCTTTTGCTTTGCCTGACAGTGGCAAATTTCAACGGGCTTCTACAGGTTGATCATGCCTGTCATTATGCAATTACTTCGATACGCAGCGCATTACACATCCGGCCCCTTACTTTCCCTTCACCCCCATAGTAAGCGCCAGAGCTAGCCGCGACTAGAATTTTCGGCCTCGGAGTTAGCGCGGGTACATCGGTGACGTTACCATGGTATAATATTACACATCATACCGAGCTCACATGTGGCTCTCTCACACAGCCGCCCAGTGGCTTAGCAACCATTG